CCCCCCCCCCCCCCCCCCCGAACTGGGGAGTGCCTGGTCTGCCCTGAGGGACACAGCCCAGAGGGAGGAAACAGAGCCATGCCCAGCCGAGCTGCCCCACCACAGGCACCTGGAGATGGGGTTTCTCCTCCCTTTTAAAGAAGGGCAGAATTGAAGCACAAACCCAGATCAATTCATTTCATCCTTAAAATCACAGTCCAGGGGGATGAGTAAGTATTTCCTACATGTTCATGTGATTTAAATGTCCCATCTTGTTTCTGTTAGCAATCATCAGATGCCAGTAGGAGAGCAACAGGAGAACCAGTTTTGGGGAGGATTTTGCTCTGCAATCCCTCACCCAGAAGTGAGCAGGTCAGGATCGGGTCCTTGGGCAACGCTGCCAGAAGCGCTGGGAGGGGAGCGAGGATCTCTTGTGCTTTCAGGCTTGTGGCCTGCATTCAGAAAAAATGTGAAACATCAAGATAGAGCTGACAGGACCCTGCCCTTGGCGTGAGGGGCTGAATGACACTCCCTGAAGCTCTGTGCATAGGACGCAGGAGCCTGGCGTGCTCTGGATGCCACCCCCTCCCTAGGCCATGATAAGAAATGTTTCTCCTTTAACCATCTGTGTGTTTTATCTCCAGTTCAGAACATCTTTCCTGGCATGAGTGTTGCAACTCTTCTCCATTGCCTCCCGGGACAGGGCTCCCTTCGCTGCCGGGATGGCTGGGGCATGGTGCAAAGCCAGAGTTGCCTGGACACTGGTTACAATTCATTTAAAGCCACCTTTCTTAATGGTGCAGAGCAGGGGAATTGGTCTCTCCTGGATACCAACAGGCATGCAGTAAAGCCCCAGGGACAAGCCAGTAGCAGCTGTGAGGTGGAAAGTGTCCAGTGGAGGGTGGCAGGAGTCTCCCTTGGATGGCAGGAAAGGGCCAGTAAGGGAAGGTCCAGGAGGAACAAGGGTCCTCGTGTGAGCAAGCAGAGAGAGGAAGGGGTGGGTGAGAGGAGAGGTGTAGATTTGTTTTGGGGGAAAAGGCTGTGCACGAGGATGGCTTCCAACAGGATGACATAGTCCCTTTCAGGGGTAGGCGTCGCCCCCATCAAGGCAGTGACTGCAGGTTGAGGGCGTGGGACATCCATCAGAGGAGAGGCAGGAGACCTGAGTACCGAAGCTGCAGGGAGGAGTGTGATGTCCCCAGGGCCTGTGAGCACCCGCCCAGCAGCGCTCCATCAGCACCCCAGGGCAGGTGAGGGGCCTGCAGCGCTGTGTGGGCTTCTCATCTCTGTGCAGGAAATGCAGAAACGGGGAGGAAATCCACCCCTGCAATGTGGGCATTCAGCCCCTGGTGCTCTCTCACACCACTTCCATTTGGGTTGGAAACATCCCCAGGTGCTGAAGCTCCCCAGCCCTCCCAGCTCAGCCAGTGCTGCCCAGACTGAGCATGCAGGTAGCCCAAAGCTGTGCCTGCCAAGTTCCCGCAGGGCCCAGGTAAGGGCCCCTCTGTCCTCCTCTACTTGGCATACCCAACCTCCCAGGGGCTTCAGTCCATGGCCAGTCACGTGGGGTGAGAGGTGAAAGGAGGATCGGTGGGGAGCTGTGTGTCCAAACCAGCTGTGGGTCTTTGACCCTGAACCCAGGGCTCTCCCCACCTGCCAACCATAGTGCCAGGAGGCTGTGGGCATGGGTGAAACCCAGGGTTCACCTGCCTGTCTCCTTGATGAGTGGAGGAGAGATAGATGAGTGTGATGGAGATGCTTTGAACCCCAGTTGATGACTGCTCCTGCTCAGTGCCAGGATGGACAAGCTGAGGCGAGTGCTAAGGAAGTCGGCCAAGGTGCTCTCCATGGGAGAAGAGAGCAGCAGTGAGCCTGGGCAGGAGGATTGGGGCCCCACCTGCCGTGACGAGGAAGGGCCTATCAAGGCAAGAAAGTGGCTGTGCCCCATCTGCTGCTGAAAAGAAAACAGCAATTTCCAGTGGCAGGGGAAAGGGGGGAATGAAATCCACCACCTTCATGTCCAAATGGAGGTGGCCCTGGGTGCACACGGGCAGGCAGGAGCCAGTACCATCAGAGCACCAAGCACCCAAAGAGCTGTGCAGCTCCCCTCCTGGGTCATCGAGCAGCCTGGAGCCCGGCCCTGCAGCCCTGCAGCAGGAAGCAGCCCCTGCCAAGCTGGGGACAAGGGCCCAGCTGCCCTGGGGCAGGAGCTGAGCCAGGCCCACAGCAGCCCCAGCCCGAGCCACAGCTCCTCCTGGGATGACTGGCACACATCCCAGGAGTCTGGGAACACCAGCCCCAGCACCAGCTCCTCCTCGGAGGACTCTGAAAACTCCCCCAAGTCACAAAGCACCAGCACGAGCAGCAGCTCCTCCTCGGAGGACACCGATAGCTCTGAGGAGTCCACAAGCACCACGTCGACCAGCAGCCTGGAGTTCAGGACCAGCCCGGCACCTGGTGCCAGCCATACAGGTGAGGGGAGCTCCTGGGGCCCGGAGGTCTCAGCTCCTTTCACTAAGTGAGGCCAGTTGGACCCTCCTTGGGGTTGGGCAGGGGGATCCTGGCCAAGGTGAGGGGACTGAGCCGCACACCTCCCTAGCACCTCCTGGTGCAGGCAGGGCACCATCTCTTCCCCCGACACCCAGCGTCCCTTCCCCTCAGGGGCACACGAGTAACCCTCTACCCTTTCCTCCCTGCTGCAGTGATTCCCAGCCCAGCCAGCGAGGAGCTGAAGGAGGAAGACAGAAGGTCCCTGGAAGAAACTGTCCTCCTCCTTGTCAAAAAACACCTGCAGGACCCAGGGAAGATATGAAACTTCCCCAGCAGGGCCAGCACCCAGTCAGTCCTCTGTTCCCCCCATCCAGTCCGGGGGCGAAGTCACCCCCCGGGACCCGGAGCCCTCAAGGGAACACACTCAGCTCAGGGGCACTGCTCGAAGTAGGAGTGTTTGTGAAGCTCCAACTGGGTCCCCTTTCTCCACAAACACTGCCCTGCTCCTCACTCTGCCTGCCCCGAGGAGATGCACGTCACCACCATGGGAGTCAGGGGAGGCTTGAGTCCCACAGAGAATTTGGGGAGGAGCAGCAGGCCCCTGGCTAAGAGCCTACTTTATCCCTGGTCTTGCTCCTGGTAGATGCTGGATGGGAAGGACAGGCAGTGCTTCCTGCTGGCAATCGTGAGCCTGAGCATCGCCACCCACCACAGCAGACAGGTGGCTGTGGAGCTGGAGGGCCTGAAAGCAGCCGTGCTGGAAAGATCATTGTGAGTAGCACGGGATGGTGTGACGAGAGGGAAGGAGAGGAAATGTTGTCTTGTGAGGCCAGGAAGGAGGGGAGAGGTGGAGCTGGATTAGAGGGAGAAGGGCAGGTGCACCTGGGCCTGGATATTAGGTTGGGGCAGCAGACAAGGGAGATTGTGGTGGAGGATGAGGGCAATCCTGCATCTGGAGGGCAGGTGAGGATGGGATCTGGGGGCAAGTGAGAAACTGGAGTGGCAAGTCTGCAAGGCCATGGGAGCTGGGTGGGATCCTGCTGCCTGCGCCTGCAGCACTGAGTGGTCTCCTGTGGGGAACGTGGCTGTGGCCTGTGGGTTTCTAACCTCGACCTGCCCTTTGGGTCTCACAGGAGTTGATGGAGACCATCTCGCTGGATGCCGACTGGAGAAACGTCCTGGCGTACAGCATAGATGCCATCCGTTGCCTCAGGTACCGGGAATTCTGCCCCACTCCCCTCACTCTGCCATGGGCCGGGGGGATCCCCACTGCTCAGACCCAGATTTGCAGGCTTTTTCCTGCCCACCCCAGTCCCACCTTCGCCCTGCAGAGCTCAATCTGACGCAGGCTCCTCTCTCCTGACAGTGACCTGAATCTCAGCCTGGAGCCAGCTCTGGAGTCGTGCCTCCTGTGGGCCGCCATGGAAAAGAGCTTCCTGGCCACAAGGCATGAGAACCATCACAACCAGGTAGGTCCTCCTGCCACTGCCATGTCCCACAAGCCACCCTCTGGCAGGAGTGGCCCCCGCCTCCATGGCACTGACCCTTGGGTCTTCCTCCCCTTCCAGGTCATGAACTGGCTGTACGAGGAGTACCGGGAGGGTCTGCTGTGCTGCGTCTTGTCAGTGCCCCCAGCCTGGGCAAAACTCTACTCCATCTGGGAGGTGAGCACGATGCAGAGGGGCTGGGCTTGGGACAGCTCCTGCCCTGTGTACTGCAGCAAGCCTCTCCCAAAGCGTAAGGCGGATGGACAAGACCAAGCTCAAAACCTGGGCCCTGAGCAGGATGGTGCCAAGGCTGCTGGGTTAGGCAGGGCACGTGCCCATTGATCTTACCATTTTCCTCCCACAGCACTTTACATCGTGGATTGAGCTGCCGGATGCCCAGCACCATGCACTGGGTATGAAGATTTTCACCAGCATCATTGCCTTTGCTGTCCAGCTCCTCCCACAGTTTGAGGTGAGTGAGCCCCAAGCCCAGTGTCCTGGTTCCCTGCCACTGCCAGGGCCCTCCTTGGAGAGTGGGGTCAGAGCTGGAAACTGAACTTAACTCCAGGGCCTCTGCTTCTGCCTCAGTGGTGCCCCCTGGCTCTTTATGGGTCTCTTTTCCATGGCCTGCCCTGGATATGGGACCTTACTAGGTCTGGAGCATCAGGCACAGGGAATCATCCTGCGGCCCTGAGCAAGACCCTGGGCTCCAGGTTCCCATGGGAATAGAGGTGTGTCATGCTCTGGCGCTCTGGTCTTTGCCTTCCCGCCCTCCTGCTGGGTAATGGGGGGAGGTGGAGAGAGAGTCGGGCCTGGGGAATGTATTGGGGACGGAAAGTGGGACCTGCATGGACTCCCCACTCCTCTCCCTCTGCTTAGGGCTCCCCTGACATACCAGAGGTGGGAGACATGGCAGCCCACCTGGGTCTGTCCATCAGCAACCTGGTGGAGAGCATCAGCTGCAAGGCCAGGGAGGGCGTGTATTGGCTTGCTCAAATCCTCCTTCACCAGAGTGGTAAGGAGACCCAGGTGGAGTACAAGGCTTCAGTGCCAATAGTTTCCCTCCAAAAGCCTGATCCCAAGTGCTGGGCCACATGTTGTGTCCCCCTCTGTCCATCGCCGACCTGGGAACAACTCAGGGTGTCAGCGTTAATGACCTTGTCCCTTCCACCTCAGCGCCTAGCTGTGGCCCTGCAGCCTGTGCTAATGCACCAGTTGTGGGTCTCCCATACAGGCACCTGGGAACCCATCCCAAAGCCCCTAGCCCAGACTGGTCCCAGGATACCTGGTCCCGATTAGCTCCCACAGAACGATGCCCTCCCTGCTGGGGCCCTGCCCTTCACGGTGCCATAAGGGCAGCCAGAGCCCCACTGGTACCAAAGCTAGGATGGTAGTTCACAGCCATATGTCTCCATTCTCCTAGGCCAAGACATACAAGGGGCAGAGGAGCTGTGGTGCAAGTGCCAGATGCAGCAGAGACAGGTCCAGAACTACAGGGACCTGGTGAGAGTTGGAGAGGTGAGGATGCTGTGATGAAGAGGTGGGGAGAAAGGCCTGATGCTTGTCTCCAGCTCGCAGAGTTGTTCCTGCGGTGGATTAGAGTCTTGCAAGTGTCCAGGGCAATGTGGTGCCAGGCCCCAGAGATGAAGCATGTCTGTGGGATGTGCCAAGCCTTGCATCTTTGTGTTCCAGGGGCTGAGAAAGATCTTGCTGGAGGAGCAAAGGATATCTTTCCTTCAGAGGGCCCTTCATGCAGTTCACAATGAACACATGCACATCAGCCAAGCTGGGCTGGTCTTCCTCTATGCCACCCTGGGGGAAGCCAGACGCTTGATGGGGCACAAGGTCAGCACCCACGTTGGGAAGTGAGGGGAGGCAGGAGAGTGAACTCAGGGCCCCTCTCCTCTGTGCCACATGAAGTTGCTCTCATCCCATCACCACCTGTTGCCTCTGGAAAACATGGAGCAGAGAGAGGTCACTAGCCACCAGAGTCTGAGCTCTAGCTTATGGCGGGGTTCATTTGCACCTCAAAGACTAACTCAATCAGTACCTATATATATATTTATATAGCCCAGATATCATGACCCTGCCAGTCACTTTGGCAGAGGGTGAAGCCTGCCCCCAGCTGTAAGGTGCAACTCTCCCCTGCCTTCTGAGGAAACGGGCCTGTAGGAGAACAGAAGGCCTGCCAAGTGCCTTGGATGAAGGAATGAATTCATCTGCCTGGGCAGGATGGCACCAGTCTGCCCTTGCACAAGTCATGCCCCTGATGGTCAAAGTCTCTGGCCAGGCCCAAAGATACAGAGCGTGTCCCCACAGAACAGGTTTCCCCTTCCCACCCTCCAGTCAGGAGTCCTTAGGAGCCGCACAGGGCCCTGCACAGCACCATTTCTCCTGCTGCCCCTCAGCCTGTACTTGCTCTAGGGAGAATGGAGGATTCAGCCACTTGGTGCTGCCAGTCTGCCCATTTGCCCTGGGCTACCACTCCCTGTCTTCACCATGACTCTCAGAAAAAGGTCCAGCTGGGAACCTGCCCCCATTTCCCTGGGCTGTTGCCAAAACCCCTTAGTTTCAGTCCAATCCCTGCTCCATGACCCCTCCCCACATCCCCCATCCTTCCTGGGGGCAGCAGAGGCTCTGACGAGCTTTTGTGCCCCTGCAAGAGAAAGAAATCCCCGTCAGGGTCCTGAATAAGCTGTTTGCCATCACCTGCTTCAAAGATCTGCAAGGACACAGCCTGCTCGCCAGCTCCTCTGGGGCCCCCTCCTCTCTCCAGCCACCCACGCTTGGTCCTACAGGTGCTGTCCTGTCCCCTCTGCCCTTGAGGAACAGGGATCAGTGGGAAGGGATGGGGAGGCTCGCAGCACTAACACAGACCTGCTCCCTGCCGTGTGTGGGCAATTCTCCCCTGTGCCCCCAGAGAATCCTGTCCTAACCTCTGTCCTCCATAGGCCTTTCCTTTCTCCTCCTCTCAGTTGCAGGAGCCTTTCCTCATGTCCTGCTGCCTCTGGACAAAACTCCCCCCTGCCCCAGGTGGTGTGGATAGGTCTGCAGGGTGTTGCCATCTTTCATGAAGGAGCCCCAGGAGCTTTCCCAAGTGGCTGAGCAACCCCAGGTCAGGCAGGACCCTCAGCCTCCTGTT